CACAGCACCCTTCACCTCCGAAGTACCACCTTCGCCCTCACCTCCCCTGCACCCTCATGCGGCCCGGCTATGGCCGCCAGTGCCCTGCACGCAGGCAGCGCCCTACCGCCTAGCGCTGGCCTGCCCTGTCTTAGCGCAGCACACTTGCATCTGCGCAGCGTGCCCGCATATGCCAGCATTGGCCAAGATCCCTGCTGCCTCGCCCTGCTTGCCTATATGCCAATGCAGCATGTGGGCGGCCTCCCTTCAGCCTGTGACCGGGACCCAGAGGCTGAAGCCTTCCTGATACAGTTGGGCCCTGGAGCAATTCAGTTGTGCCTCTCTTCTCAAGGCCTGCGGCCAGATTCAGATAGTGGGCCGATTTTCCCTTTGGCATTTCGGCCTCTCTACCCAGCATGCATTGTCGGCCTCACGTTCGAGTGCCCAGGGCCTAACTAACTCAGAGGCCCTGGGCATTTCAGCATTTGCTGAAATCCGAGACTCGGTGCACTCCAACCAACTGGCGTGCTGCAACTGTATAGACCCCACTTCGTGAAATGTTGGCCGAGAGGGCTCTTGTTGATTTGCTGGCCCACCTTCACTTAGGGCGGGCACTAGGCTTGCTGGGGCCTTAGCCCARAAYATGTACAWCATGGCAAGGCCCCTACTTGARGGCTCAATCCTCACATTCCATCCCCCTTAGCTTCGAAAGTCCGCTGAGATGCTTACTTCGCAGGTGCCTTCCCTTTTAGCTTCCGTTCATAATCTGCCACCACCTGAGGAGCTGTTTCCATCAGTTCCTCCCGAGTGAACCACCGATCTTCTTTAGGATCCGTATGATGCCTGAATCTGATTCGGTACTCTCTTTTGGGCTTCGGAGGTCTTCCTCGACCCAACGGCTTCTGAACAGGCATATCCCTGTGTTCCACAATGTCGTCGATGTCGACTTGTCCATCCATGGTTGGGGGCAGCATCGATCTCCTGGAAGGGAATTGATCAGTCTCAGCGAAAGGTGCAAGCTTTGAGGCATGAAAGACTGGGTGAGTGCGTAGGTGTCCAGGGACACGAATGACATATGTGGGACCATCCAACTCATCTCCCACTACATCCAAGACTTCCCAGGGACCAAAGTACTGAGGCATCAGTTTGCGAGATATTCCGAATTCCTGTCCTAACTCACTAGCCTTGACCCAGACACGCTCCCCTACATGAAATGTAGACTGTCTGCGATGTTGATTCTCAGAAGCAATCATGGCTTGCTGAGCTTTCTTCATATGTTCAACAGCGTCTTGCAGCAACTTCTCATATTGCACACCGTATTCAAGTGTGCGTGGAGTTGCAGAGGGTCGGTTTTCAGGTAGGAGGAAGTCTAATGCTGATCTAGGCTTCCATCCTAAGTGCAGCTGGTTAGGACTAACGCCGGTACTACTATGTATAGCGTTGTTGTACAGGCTGGCGATGAGAGGTAACTGCTCATCCCAGTCGTCCTGGTTGGGCTTGATGTAATGCCTCAGCAAGTGCTGTACAACTCTATTCATTTGTTCGGCCTGTCCGTTGACTTCGGGATGATTCCCTGAAGTCATCTGAAGTTGACTGCCCATCTGTTCCGCAGTCTTCTTCCACAGCTCACTTGTGAATCGGACGTCTCAGTCACTAATGATGGTCTTTGGTAAACCAAAGTCCCTTACCCAGTTGTCCTTGAACAACTTGATGACGTATTCCGTCCTGGCTGTCTCTGGCATTGGAATTAGTCTAGCATATTTGGTGAATCGGTCAATGATGACGAAAATGTGCCTCTTGCCACACTTGCTGGTCACAAGAGTGTCCATGAAATCCATAGAAACACTCAATCCTGGACCATCAGGAATAGGTAAAGTCTTCAATAACCCAAGCGGTGCTTGAGTTCGCGGCTTGTCCCGCTGACAGACCTGACAGGTGTCAACATATTTCTTTGCGTCATCTAACATTCTGGGCCACCAAAATCGCTGTACTAAGTTAGCACTCGTTTTCTTGTAGCCAAAGTGCCCAGTTGCGTCATGACATTCGCCTAAAAATAAACTACGCAACTGTTCACTAGATGGAACTACCAATCTCTTTACTCCGGCCTTATCAAGATAGATTAGCCCATCCACCATCACAAACTCACTTTCTGTGGCCTTGTCTTTTGCCTGAAGTTTGCGGATGATGTCCATCGTGATAGGGTCTTCCTGATAGGCTCCCACCAATGATTGAGTTACTTCATTAGATATGCCAAATTCAGAAACCAGCGCACCTAGGTAGTCTGCTCTACGGGATAACGCATCCGCAACCTTGTTATACTCTCCCTTTAGGTACTCAAGCTTGAAGTCATATTGGTCTATGACCTCAATCCATCGCTTGAGTGCATCAGAAAGAGCCAGTTGAGTCTTGATCCATTTGAGGGTCTGATGATCAGTCCTCAGATAGAAGAACCTTCCCAAAAGGAAGTGTCTCCAATGGACAAGTGCCTTGTAGAGAGCATAGAGTTCCCTTTCGTAGGTGGACTTAGCCAACTTCTTCGATGGCATCTTCTTACTCATGTACTCAATCGGTCTCAACKTTTTCCCATCCTGYTGAGCCAGCACTGCGCCARTGYCRTATTGGCTTGCGYCAGTGGTCACTATGAATGGCTTTTGCGGATCGGGAACCATGAGAACTTCATGATTCATGAGTGCATGCTTCAATCTCTTGAAAGCACTCTCGCACTCATCACTCCAGTCCCACGGTGTGTCAAGTCGAGTTAGATTAGTCAAAGGAGAGGCGACTTTAGAAAAGTTCTTGACGAAGTTCCTATAGTAGCCGCACATTCCTAAGAATGATCTGACCTCAGTGACTATCTGAGGTCGTGGCCAGTCTCGAATACTAGCCACCTTCGCATCTTCCGGCTTGATTCCCTCCGCGGATACTTCATGACCCAAGTATGGTATCTTAGTGCGGCCAAACTCGCACTTCTCTAAGTTGACCTTATACTTGTGCTATTGCAGGAGTGAGAGAACTGTCTCAACATGCTGTGCGTGCTCCTCGGCAGATAAAGATCAGAATGTCGTCTAAGTAGACCACGACAAACTTATCTAAATGGTCATGGAAGATCCGATTCATAGCGTGCTGGAACGTACCTGGCGCATTACAAAGGCCGAAAGGCATCACTACAAACTCATACAGACCATATCTAGTCTGAAAAGCTGTCTTGTGTTGGTCCTCATGTCTTATTGCGATCTGGTGATATTCGGATTTCAAGTCTATCTTTGTATAATACTTGCATCCCTGCACCCTATCCAATAGGTCGTCTATGCGAGGTAGAGGCTCTGCGTTTTTCACAGTGATGGCATTGAGGCCCCTATAATCAATGCACATCCTCAAAGTACCCCCCTTCTTCGGTACGAATAGCACAGGTGATCCGTAAGGGGAAGTACTAGGCTGAATCCAACCCTTCTCTATCAGCTCCTTGAGTTGCTTCCGAAGTTCATCTAACTCGGCAGGGGCCATCCTATAGATCCTTCCCTTTGGGGTCTTACTCCCTGGAATGATTTCTATAG